GGAGTTCCAGCTGTCCCACCCCAGGCCCTGGCGGTCCCAAGCAGGGAAGAGTCTCCCCAAGGACCACACCTCTATCCCCACTCAAGGATCCAGCCTCCTCCCCACCAGGGCTGCTGCAAGATGCTGACACATGCTGACTGTTGGGTGGCATCTGAGGTCCTCCGTGTTTGCCCCCCTCACAGGCTTGCCAGAGACCAGAGCGGCTGCCGAGGTCCTCGTCGGGTCAAGTCAGACAACAGTAAGTCAGGCGTTGCGAGCCAACAATGTGAGCATCAACGATGGTGAAGACGAGGGCTTTTGGAGTCACGCTTTCCTGGGTTCATATCTTGGCTCTGTCACCAGCTACTTATGTTCTCTGGGTCTCAGTTCCCTCATTTGTAAAATAAGGATAATAATTGGCTCACCTCATGACGTTGTTAATGAGTTACTACATCCAGACCTGTGCCTGGCACTCAATCAGTGCCGTATACATGTGCCTGTTGTCACTGTCTTTTGTCACACCACCAAACACATCCTGAGCGCTGACCCATCCCATGTTCTGAGTCGTTCCGGGATCACGGAAAGTCCAGTTTCAGAGAGGCACCCCATCCAGCCATTGTCAGACGCCCACTTGGAACAGACTCCCTGAGAAGCCTCGGGGTCTTTGCCCCATGTGGTGTGGCAGTGAAGCCAAGACAGAGAGAGAATCAGAGACAAAGACAGAGAGACAAAGACAGAGACAACACTCAGAGTAACTGTCCTTTCAGCGTGAAAGCCGGGGAATGGCTGGGCCCTGGGGTAAGGGTGTGGTTGGGTCCACCTGGCAGGACCGTGGAGCTGAGGCTGAACAGCCATGGGAATCCAGGGACCAGGTGGGATGAGGGACAATGGGAGCCCTTGAGAACTGCTCCAGCAGATGTGGACTGAGTACACAGCCAGCTGTCTGTCCAGAGCACAATGTGGTCTGGACACAGGCAAACAGTCATGTGATTCTCGTTCCTTCTATCAGTGGGAGGAGGGATGGGAGAGGGGCAGGAGGAAAGAGGTATTGTTCCTCTTCCACCTGGTACCAGCACCCACAGTCTAGAGGGACCAGGCGACCAGGGACACATTCCTCAGGGGGGCAGGGGGACATCAAAGGCCTCCATGCCGACTGGCTCAGAGCCTAGTCTCCACCCGCCCTTGCACAGCCACCCGCTGTCCCCAGGCGGGTGATGTGGGTCACCATCCTGGGCCCGGCGAGGAGATTGGGGAGCCCAGCCCTGTCCTGAGATGTGGTGTCTCCCCTAGAAGCCACACTCCCATGCTGGCAGCCCGGTGCATGCCCCCCCCACCCCCACCCCAACTGCCCGGTGTTGAATGAAGAAACAATGACATGATTGGTACAAGAGTTTTCTCAGTTGCCTTGGACATTGCGTCTCTCTTGGAAAACGCTAACCTGTTTTCACAAGCCCTCGACAGAGGCTGTCGGACCCAGTGGACAGTGAGCGAGGCCGTTCCTGCGCCTGTGGGGGGTGAGGACAGGGTCTGGGGTGCAGGGCTCCTGGACCGGGGAGGTGTCCCTGTGCCTCCGGGACTGTCCCAGCTCCCAGTGTCTCCTGGGATGGCCCAGGGACTTCTTCTGCCCACATCCCTACACCGTGGCCCATACCGACTCACCCCCACATGATTCCAGCTCACCCCGAGCTGGGGGGTTGGGGGGGGCAAATGGAAACCAGTCGCCGTCCCCGTGCCTTGCACTAGGGCAGGAGGAAGCTGCAGTGCTCCGAGCAGAGGCTCTCGCCGAGAGCACAAGCCCAGCCACTGCCTCCGCCTTCCCTTCCCTTCCCTGGTCGTGGCCGCTGCGAGGCATGTAGGACGGAGAGGGAGGGAGAGAACGTGCAGGTTAGGGATGCAAGGGGGGCTCCCTACAGCCTCTGACCCCATCAGGATAGAAGCCTGGCATGAAGGAGTCGTGTGCCTGCCTCTCCTTCGTAGAGAAAGTGCTGCAGGTTCCCGGAGTTCCAGGCACACTCATACCCACGTGTAAGGACCCACGCAAATGCCAAGAAAGCGGCAAAAGCCCTTCTTTGCTTCGTCACCATTTTCGATGCACAGATGCAAAGTCCGTAGGACAGACACTGCCTTGCATGTGGTGAGGCCTCTGTAATGTTTATTGGAAAAAAATAAAGCCACCGTCCATGAGAAAGCCAAGCGCAGAGGGTTTTGCTGTATATCCTTCTTTAAGTCCCTCTGACTAATTAAAGTATTTGTTGATTTCCAGCCCATAGTTTCAATCAACCCAGGGGGATTTTCAAAGGCTTTGGTGTGCCATTGGCAAAACACCCTTCGAATGAGGGAAGAGCGTTCTCCAGACGTGCAGGGGCCTGTCGGAGGGCAGCTCGGAGCTCCGTCCCACAAGCGCCAATCGCCTGCGCGGTGTGAGGGGTGGGGGCCGGGGCTGCTCCCCAGGCCCCCCTGCATGTTTGCCGCACCCTCCCGCCAACCCCAGCCAGCTCGAAATCCCGACTCCAGCTCGCATGGGGCCTCTTTCCCTCTGCATCCGCGGACCGCGCTTCCTCCCAGCTCCCTGGGGCAGACCGCAGTGCAAGGCGAGGTCGGGTGTCCAGGGTCCCAACAGCGCAAGGGCTGCCCGGGGACCAAGACGCGGCCCAGAGGAGGCGCACAAGCTTCTCTACCTATGCAGCAGCCTACAGTTTGGGTGAAGCCCTTGCACAACAAAAGTCAACCCCAGGGGCCCACTATCACCATGACCCGAGTGACAGCAAGAGGGCATCACCCCCAAAACCCACCCAAGTCAAGGCTTGCTTGGCTGCTTTGCTTGTGGACCTTTGCATTCCTACCCAGCTCTGTTTTCGGTCGTGGGGGTTGACAGTCCCGGGAGAGGCGGGGTGGGCCTCGGGGCAGCACACGGCCGAGGGAGGGTGGGGTGGCCGACACAGATCCCCAGTCCACAGAGGCGCCGGGCTCCTCGGCGGCCCTGCAGCCCTGAGCATCTAGCTGCCATCAGCCTTGGGCGGGGTGGGGGCAGGATTCCACTGACTCTGGGTGGAGGCAGGAAAATTCTTCCGTCCGTTCCTCCCCGAGGCAGGGCTTTGTGAGGAGGTGCCGGGGCTGGCACACAGTCCACCTGCCCTTGCCCATCCTGCCGGGTCTGGCTCTGCACTCCCAGATGGGGCCGCCAGCCGCTGCCCAGTGAATAGGGTGATTCACACTCCAACTATTGCTCCCCACTTTTCATGCTGAGCACACACAGGATAGGAAGTCCGCAAAGGGAGGACGCTACAGATTGCTTTCTCCCCCAGAGGGGTGCGTGGAGGCTGGGGCAGGGCACAGGGGCTGCTGGGGGGCTCAGGGGCACAGGTTTCAGGACCGAGGGTGGCGGGAGAAGAACAGAGCAAAGTCCAAGGGAGGGAGAGTCATAGCTCTGTCTGCAGAGGGTGCCCAGGCTAGAGGGGACAGGGGACCCACCTTCTGGGCAGAAGCAGGTGGTTGGGACTCTGAGACTCAGCATGGGGCGAGGGAGAGCCTCACACCAAGATCTGGGGAAGGAGTGGAGGGAGATGCCCTACATGTCTGTTGGTTCAATTTAAAAAAAAAGTTTGCTGAGCCCCCCTGCTGTGTGCAGCCGGGCTGAGCCTGTGAAGCGATGTGAAGCGGAGCCAGGTGTGTGCCCTAACCTCGGGGAGTGTCCGGCTCAGTGAGACCTGGAGCAAAACTGTCTTCTGTTACCTGTAGGTTCTACTCCTCATTGCACGCCCATTGCAGCGGGGCTGGGAGGAGGGGGCCCTGGGACATTTATCCCCTGCCCACCTGCTCCGCAAGGGAGGCTAGGGTGTCCTGCTCCCTCCGTGGGGACACCGGCCGAGCCGGCCGCTAGAGCTCATTTAGCCCAGCATCCGTCTTTTGCTGATGGGAAAAGCTAAGCAACGTGTGCTGCCAAGACCTGGTAACTCCCTCTGTGGGCGCCCAGCAGAGGAGCTCCGGAGCTCCCAGTAATCTCACTCTTCCTGCCTCGGAAATGCCAGGCCGGGGTGGGACTGGCCCGCACTGTGGTGTCCCGGGGGCCCCTATTATCTGTAGCCCTCCCGGTCTGGCACCGCAGGAGGGGCTGCCTTCCTGCATAGGGGGTAGGGGAGGGTTCCCATGAACCTCGGACAGAAAAGCGCCGCTTCCCCCCACCCCAGCCCCAAACACTCGCTGCCACAGTTACTCGCCACCCACACACCTTGGGTTCCTGGCATTGAATCTGAGCTTGGCACACTCTAGAGGTTCTCAGACTGGCCAGGATGCATTCCTGTTCCACCGAGTCCTTCTCTTTCCTCTACGCAGCTGGGGGGTGGCAGGGTAGGAGGGGGGAGAGATGGAGTGAAGAGAATGTCCCAGTGTCTCGGGCGGGGTGGGGCTTCCCTGGGGCATACCCAGGACCTGTGAGGGGGCGGGGGGCGTGTACCGGGATGGTGGTCCCCCAGTGGAGAGGGGGAACCACGCTAGGGGTCCCCAGGCACCTGCTTTCACCTTGGATCTGCTCCATCAGGGGCTGAGAGTCCCCCCAGTAGGTCTCAGGGTCCCCCGGACACACACGTCTGTTCCCCGAGGGGCAGCAACGTGTGAAACTGGTGAAGTCGGTAAAACTAATCTCTGTGAGTCTCAGGAGTTCTCCAGGCGGGGAGGCAAGCCAGACCTCGTTGCCCAAGACTTACGAGGCGAGCTCTGGCCATCGGTCTGTCTGTCTGGATTTACCTGTCCACTGCTGGCTCATCACAGCCCTCTGGTGAGCGAGCACATCGGAGCTGATCCCAGCAGCTTAGGATCATTTTCCCACGGCCACGGGTTCCCTGGAGCCAACCGCAGGCCTGACTACAGATTCTTGAGTCTGGGCTGGGTCCTCATTCCTTTACTCTTGAGAATGTACTCCCTTGGCCCCAAGGCTTTCAATCCACCCCCCATTTCCCCCAGGGCACCCCCACACCCTGTCCCTGCTCTTAATGGCCCAGTGCTCCCAGTGCTGAGTCTTGGGGAGGCCCAGAGGCGGCCCCAGTCAAGTCTGCGGCCAAAAGGAGGGTGTGGTGTAAGACGGACACTTGCTAAAACCTACCCAGCCCCCAGCTCCTCCACGTGGTCCCAGGGCCCACCTGGACTAGCAGGGCGGAGGGGTCTGGCGGGAGTCCCCCCTGAAGCAGCCATGGCAGACGGTGATGCCAGCTGCCCGGTCCCCCAGATCTGCTCCACGCGGCCTCTGGGGCAGGACGACCCATAGACTTAGAATGCCACTTTCCATTCCCCTGGCCCTTCAGGGAACTTGGGGCTGGCGCTTAGAAAGCACAGCAGTCCCCGCTGCCTGCAACGGGGTGGTTCTCCGTTATAACAGGCCGGCGGATTCTCAACATGTTCCTGATGAGATTAGAAGCTCCTGCAGGTATGTGTTTGTGGCAGCCTTCAGCCTGTATCAACAGATACGATGACTCATTTCTTCCCCGGTGGAATAACTGAGGGCTTGCTGGAACACACCTGGGGGGCTGGGGCAGCAGACGGAGCAGCTCCCTCCGAGGAGGGACGTGACCGCCAGGCTGAGTCTGGGGACCTTTTGTGAGGGATTGCATGGCTTTGCGAAGCCCCCGCAGGGTCCTGTAGAGGCCCAAGAGCAAGGGGGAAAGGTCAAAGCCACAAAAACCACTGACTCGGGAGGAGCTGCGGAGGGATAGGCCTGCCCCTGTAGGGCGCAAAGCGACATAGACCCCGGGGTGGAGGATGTCCCACATTCCCTGCTTCTGGAGCTCATGGCTTGGGGAGACAACCAGAGAGCCTGCCCTGGGCTCCGGGATGATAACTTTGCCTCCCTCAAGAACGGGAATCCTGCAGTCAAGGACAGACGTCTATTTTCCCCTCTAGCACACGGCTGGGATGTCAGCAACCCTCCGCCGGAAAGAGTAAAATAGAGCAGATCCCTGGCCCTGGAGGATGCCTTGGCCTCCAATTCATGGGCAGCGTGCCCTGCGCTGAGATGGCTGGGACACTGGCCGCCCGGACACTGGCCAAAGTAAGTGACCCCTTGTCTCTGGTGCTCCTTCCTGGGTGCTCACAGCCCCGGGGCCCCCACGGCGAAGAGAGACTGGCTGGCAGCTTCGCCAACTCTCTGCCAAGACATCAGCGCTGCAAGGCAAGGTTATTCCTAACCGAGCACAGCCTGCCAGGAAGCCAGCGTTTGCACCCCACACCACCGTGCAGGTGTGCCGGTGAGCTCACAGCTGCCCCCCAGGCATGCCCAGCCCACTTAATCATTCACAGCTCGACAGCTCTCCCGCCCAGCCCAGTTCTAGGGAATAAAAAGGGGGGACTGCAGCTCCCCGGTAACAGAGCCACCTTCTGCGTCCTGCCGCGCTCTGTTCTCGCCAGCACTCCCAACCCCTAGGGCCCAGTACTCTTGCTCCACCAGGATCAAGCCATCATGTCTCGCCAGTCGAGTGTATCCTTCCGGAGCGGGGGCAGCCGTAGCTTCAGCGCTGCCTCTGCCATTACCCCGTCTGTCTCCCGCACCAGCTTCACCTCCGTGTCCCGCTCCGGGGGTGGCGGTGGCGGCTTTGGCAGGGTCAGCCTAGGGGGTGCTTGTGGAGCAGGTGGCTATGGCAGCCGCAGCCTCTACAACCTGGGAGGCTCCAAGAGGATCTCCATCAGCACTAGCGGTGGCGGCTTCAGGAACCGATTTGGCGCAGGTGCTGGTGCTGGAGGCGGCTATGGCTTCGGAGGTGGAGCCGGGAGTGGATTTGGCTTTGGCGGTGGAGCTGGTGCAGGCTTTGGGCTCGGTGGCGGCGCTGGCTTTGGAGGTGGCTTCGGTGGCCCTGGCTTCCCCGTGTGCCCCCCCGGAGGCATCCAAGAGGTCACGGTCAACCAGAGCCTCCTGACTCCCCTCAACCTGCAAATCGACCCCGCCATCCAGCGGGTGAGGACGGAGGAGCGCGAGCAGATCAAGACCCTCAACAACAAGTTCGCCTCCTTCATCGACAAGGTGAGCGGGATCCTTTGTGAAAAACCACCACGCGTGTGGAATAAATGCCAAAGAAAGTGGGAAGAGGGGAGATTTTCTGACCTGGTGCAAATATCTTCATAGTTGGCAGTTTTTTTCTGTGTATTTTTCTGGATTTGTGGCCCATTTTCTTAGTTAGACTGCTAGTTGGTCGCTTAGAAGAGAGGATCTCATTTCTTCCCCTTCAGAGATGACCCCATAAGGGCTCCTCGATCCCTGGGGGGCAAAGAGTAGAATTCTGGGCTTCCTGGAATAGTGCTGATTAAGTAGAAAGGTAGATGAGTTCATTGGGCAGGAGCCTGAGGGCCTGCACCAGTGTCCCGGGCACCAGTCACCAGTCACCCAGCTGTGCCCAGGTGACCCATAGAAGAGTGGGGGAAGGCACCTCACTCTGGACCTCCACTCCTGGGGCTCACAGCCAGGCGCTGTTGGGTGGAGAGGTGTAGAGGACCAGAGTGAAATGGGAGAAAAACGGGGGAATTGATGATGGAAACATGAAATTCAAGTTTCTCCACCTTTAAACTCCGTCTCCTCCAGGTGCGCTTCCTGGAGCAACAGAACAAGGTCCTGGACACCAAGTGGACTCTGCTCCAGGAGCAGGGCACCAAGACCGTGAGGCAGAACCTGGAGCCCCTGTTTGAGCAGTACATCAACAACCTCAGGAGACAGCTGGACAGCATCCTGGGGGAGAGGGGCCGCCTGGACTCGGAGCTGAGGAACATGCAGGACCTGGTGGAGGACTTCAAGAACAAGTGAGTTGCAGGGAGCAGACACAGGACCAGTGATGTCTTCTTGGCACCGGATGTGCTTGATAACCAGGCGGCTTGCTGCTTATGCCTTCCCCACGGGCTAGACATATATACCTTCCATGGGCACCTGAAGTCCTGGAAAAAGAAAATGCAGTCCATGTTTAGAAAGTACCAGCCCCAATCTCAGTCCCTCGGTACCACCAGTATTTGGCCACCAGCCAGAGCAACAAGCTCACTCGGTGCCCTTGGTATGACCTGGTGAAATAAGCCATCATGTAATCCTTGCTCTTTGGGGCTTTTCTCCCCAGTGTAGTCAAAGTCCACAGTGCAGGCTCTCTGATGGATTTTCCCCAAACCTAACTTAGTGGCTCAAATAATTTATTTAATCCTTGTGGAGCAGCAGCTGGGTTGGTAGCTTTTTTGGTTTGTTTTCACAAGGCTGTGAAAGCTGGGGAAAAAAAACCTACTAGGGAAATGGACTAGATATGGAGTTGGGGAGAAACAACACAGCTTCTTTATGGGAATATTCTTGAAGCAACCGAGTGGTGACAATAACATAATGATTATCTGGTAGGCAGTTACCGAAAAACCAATATTCTTGTGGGTAGGACCTTGTCCAGGGGCTCACACTACCAGCGCTCCCTTCCTTTCTGCCTGTATGATCTGAGAAGACCCTTCCCAGCGGGAAGGCAGGCCCAAGTGGTCTTGATGCAATAAAGACCCCAGGTCCCACCTGTCCCTCCTCCTCTGATCAGCACTCCGCATCCTTTTTACCACCAGGTACGAAGATGAAATCAACAAGCGTACCACCGCTGAGAATGAGTTTGTGATGCTGAAGAAGGTGCGTGGGTAAAAGACCACCCGTAGCCTGTGGCTATGCTGCCCTAAGGTGTCGTTCATTTAAGACAGGGTAAGAATTGGGTACAGTGTCAATCATCCCTGTTTCTCTAGGACGTGGACGCCGCCTACATGAACAAGGTGGAGCTAGAGGCCAAGGTTGATGCCTTGATGGATGAGATCAACTTCATGAAGATGTTCTTTGAGGCGGTAAGAGATGCCCCCGCATCTGGGACCCATAGACATGGGACATTACCAGGAATCAAGGGCTCCAGGATTGACTTCAGTGGTTCCTAAGCTGTGGGCACACCTCTGTCTCTCTTCCCCCCTTTGGTATTAGTCACATTTTATTACTTATGAAGACAGCCCTTGGAAAAGAAGAAAGTCAATTTTCAAACAAAAGTCCTCTTCCACAGTCATTTTGCAGAGTAGAGTCTGGAGTGCATTGCCAGAGGCACGAGTATACCTTTCCTGGCCACCTCCCCTTTCTGGAGTGGCATCCCCTCTCTGTTTTCTCCCAGCCTGGAGTCCATGCGACTAGATTATTTTAAAATAAGTCAATGACCCAAGAAGACACAAGTTGGAGAGGTTACAAGATAGGGATTTCTTGGAGGTTCAAAGTTGTAGAAGTTTTTAAAAAACTAGATCGAGTCGTGATCTGGATTTTTTATTAACTCATCTTCATTTTTGATGTAGGTGGCTATTATTCCTTTTCTCAAGTTGATATACCACAATGAGTGGAAGATTTGAATGGATTTGACATTAAATAACACAGAATGCCTGACTTCAAATCTCCCCGCAGGAGCTGTCCCAGATGCAGACGCATGTCTCGGACACGTCTGTGGTCCTGTCCATGGACAACAACCGTTCCCTGGACCTGGACAGCATCATCGCTGAGGTCAAGGCCCAGTATGAGGACATCGCCAACCGCAGCCGGACGGAAGCGGAGTCCTGGTACCAGACCAAGGTGAGTGCTATGGCAAATACATCCTGAGTGAGGGGATGGACATGTGTCTAGGATTCTACGCCATTGACAAAATGCTGAGGATGGGGGTCGTGAAACCTGCTGAGGCCTTGTAGGGTCACTTATACGAAGAGTCATGTATGCATTTGCCACATAAACTCAAGATAAGGAGAATCTCATTCTGAATCCCACACCTGTGTCTCTATGAAAGCAAAGGATTAAAGGGCAAGTTATCTAAGACCAGGTCCACCTGGACAACACTGAAACTGGCCCCAGGCCTCAGATAATGACACCACTTACCACTTCTTGGTAGTTCCTACCTGTGAGCTTTGAGAAAATGTTTCCATGCTCAAATAAATGGGATCTTTCCTCTTTTCCTATGGCTTCAGTATGAGGAGCTGCAGCAGACAGCAGGCCGTCACGGGGATGATCTCCGCAACACCAAGCAAGAGATCTCTGAGATGAACCGGATGATCCAGAGGCTGAGAGCCGAGATTGACAATGTCAAGAAGCAGGTAGGAAGAGGTTGCAAGAAGGCAAGGAAGGGGCTTGAGCTCTGAAAGGCAGACCTATTTTGTTTTGTTTTACTTTTTATGAACACACCCCCCCCCCAGAGCTAGAACAAGCGTTTCAATGTTCCACCATCTACAGTGACCAGTGTACTGGCTTCTCCCTGGAATCCCAGAAAGAGATACAAAAGGCCTAGGTCAGCTACGAAAGGGTTCCCACTCACACTTCTTTCCCTCTGTAGTGCGCCAACCTGCAGAATGCCATCGCTGATGCTGAACAGCGCGGGGAGCTGGCCCTCAAGGATGCCAAGAACAAGCTGGCTGAGCTGGAGGATGCCCTGCAGAAGGCCAAGCAGGACATGGCCCGGCTGCTGAGGGAGTACCAGGAGCTCATGAACACCAAGCTGGCCCTGGACGTGGAGATCGCAACCTACAGGAAGCTGCTGGAGGGCGAGGAGTGCAGGTGGGTGACATAAAGCGGACTTCAACAGCCCAGGATGGCGTCACATTTGACAAAATGGAGCTTCTTCTCCGCTACAGGATGTAAATCACACACACAAGTGACTGCTTTCTTGTGCATGATAATTATTCTCCACTAATCCAGTTTACCCACCATGAACAACAAGCTAACCCACACAATGTGGCCCCAACTCATCTTGCTGACCCTCTTCCCACCACCAGTATTCGTTCTCACCCTGTTCCCACCACCAGATTCCTCTTCTTCAAACAACTAAGCAACTCAACAAATGTCTTCCCCATTCTTCAAGTCCCCCTTCTTTTAATAAGCCTTTCATGATTACTCGAGCTAAGTTCAATTCACTTGCCTTTGGATTCTTAAACTATTCCATTTTCTGCAATCTTCTGACATTACCCACTACCCATCCTTCCTGTTAGAAGTATGTCAGTCCATGCCAAATTCCCTCAGAGAATGTAAGCTCCTACCAGGCTCAAACTGCTTCATACATATTCATAGTTCCCACAGCCTCTTACTCATGCTTTCCATATAATGGGTGGAGGAATGTGAATTACAATCTTCTTTCAATAACCTGTCTTTAGGTCAAACAGGTTGACACTTGTCTTCATTGGGAAGTCACTTGAGAGGGCTATCTCTTTCTCTAATTTAAGCAGCTCTGGGGCATACAGGCCCCTTGCTTATAGAACAAGCTCAGAACACGGCTAGTACTGTCTTTTGAGGAGTTTTTAACTCTTGCTTTAATTTTTTCCCCTTTTAGACTGAGTGGAGAAGGAGTTGGACCTGTCAACATCTGTAAGTACCTTTGAGCAGACATTAACAATGATGGTAATATGGGGTATTTGGGGCCAACTCAG